TTGCTAGTGGTGTTATTGACTGACTTTTTCTTGACAATACAATTCTAGGTGATAATATACACATTTCTTTTAAATCACTTCTTTGGAATGAAAATCTTATACTGATTTGATCAAGTAATTCTTGGTAAAATTCCAGACAAGTTATTCTAAATTTTTTTAATTCATTTTCTGGAATATCATTTTCCAGAATAAAAGCTGTCACAGCTCCCCCTAAATATATGTTCTCTAGGGGTAGGAGATTAGCTGGGTTTTTATAATCAATTTTGTGTAATCATCTTTGTTGTTGTTTAGATATTTTGGAGTAATAAACATTTCCAAAATTGTTTGAAATAGTTCTTTTATTTTGGAATACAAAAGATGAACTTTAGGTTGCTCCGAATGCATTTCTAAATTTAGGTTAGTTATATAGGGTAAAATGTAGTCTAAAAATAGTAAATACATCTTTTGAAAAATATTTTGAAATTTTATATGGATACTTTCGGCTCCATTTATATTTTTTCAGGATTATTAAGTACTTCATTTTGAAAATACAGTTTTAATGCATCCCATTAATCAAGTACCCTGCGAACTGCTGAAATTAAAGACAGCCAACGAGTCTGAGATGGTTGTAGCATCTTATGTGGTTTACTTTCACAGAATTGTTGAAACTCTTTAAACTGATTATATCTTTTGGTACTATATTTAAAATATTTATAAATTTCTCTTAGTAAGAGCTCAGTTGAATCGGGTAATTTCTTACAAGCATACGAAGCACAAAGTGCGAAGGAGTGACAACTGCATTTTAAAATAAATAGATCTGGATTGTCATTCTTTAAAAATGTCATAAGATTTTCAGTTCCTGCACCCATCATTGTATTCGTTCCATCACTACCAAATCCAATCATATTAGTTTTGTAATCAATATTATACTTAACAAAAAAATCTACTATTAAATTATACAAACTACGAGCAGTTCCACTACTAGTTACTGGTAATAAAGTTAAAAAACTATCTTGTACAGTGTTATCTAGATTATTGAAAAACCTTACAACTAGACATAAATGTTTGGTTGTACCTTTATCTGTAGACTCATCTACAAGTAAAGAAAATTGTGCATTTTTTAAAATGGACAGTAAACATTCAAAGTTACCAGTTACATTTTTAATATTTGTACATTTTTTTCGAGAAAGTTTAAATTTTTTTGCCAACTTGGAATCTGGGCATACTGCCCTTATGAGGTCACAGATGTGATCAGCCGTTTTAAAGGATATATTATGTTCGACAATAAAAGATGCCAATCTAATTTCAGATGAATGTACACTGCTAGTGTCAATAGCAAGCATACTGGTTACACTTATTTGTTGTTCTAAAGATTTGCAATACTTTTGGTGTTTTCAGTAAGTCCACCCATATAATGTTGTCGACATGGTTTGCAATAAAAAAATTGGTCTCCTTTTGTACTTTTTGACAACCATTGGAACTTTTTTTCCCAGCTGGTCGTATATTTTTGTTTGTATCGCTTCTTTAACTTTTTACTTATTTTTGGACGATTTAATTCTTGGCATTCTTTCCCCTCGTCCTCCTCGTCCTTGTAACTATTATTTGAATCACTCTCGGAAGTCTCGGAGGAATCGCTGGAATTGGCTAGAAATAAAATCATGACAGTTGACTTGATTTAAATTAAACTTCAGCACTTACCTTTTATTGCATTCTCCTTAAAGTTGTCCGACATTTTATTTTAAAATTTAATGTTTTCTTGTTTTCTATCAAAATAAAAAGTCAGAACGTCACAACAGGAAAAATAAAAATGAAATTTATGACATTTATGAGCAAAAAAATAGAAGGCGGTAAACAGAACATCTCGTGCCGTGACGTCACTCATAATGGGACATGCGCGGACATGCTGCTAACCCAGTATTTGCTAATTGATTTTGATTTTAACCTTTCTTTCTACACTTAATTAAATTTTTTTTGTGGAACATAATATATTTTTATTTTAGTGTAGGATAAAGTTTTCTGTTGGATCAGGATTAAAATAGTATGTAAACCACGGCAGTAAAGTGGTTTTCCAGGCCTCACAGTGTCCTGGCTCGGCTATTATTATTGTGTTCTAGAAAACCCCAATCAATCAAATGTTCACTAGCACTAGCAGTCGCATTCCGATAATTACACAATATTAAATTAAATTCATTATTATGCAGTGCCTATAAAGGATATTTTGGGGAATGTTTTTACAGTTGACAATTTGCAAATTGTATAAGTGAAATTTAAAATAAGTTCAGTAATGACAAAATACTTTATGTATATAGAAATATTAAAGGAAAGTCATAAAGTTTTTTTTGCCCACTTAAGAAAATTAGACCGTCACCTAGGAATAAGAGGTGCAGAAGCGTAATATGGAAATACAAATAGTTTTTTCTACTCCCTCCTTTACTATAAGTTGTTAAATGCTAATTTTCGGTTTCATAATAACACTGGTTTTCATTATGAAACCGAAAAATTGACCAATAGAAATCTAGATTTTTAAATTACCAAGTAGGCAGACTCAATATTTTCTGTAGAATGTTCGACAGTTTCTACGAGGTTCGTGTTTTATGACAGTTTCAATCTTTTCGGTAGTCAAAATGTAGATAGGTACCTCTCACTTATTTTTAAAAAAATGTCGAGCGACGAACAGTTTTCATGTACACCACCTGAAATCGCTGAAAAGGTCAAAAATGTGTCATCATAGTTATTACATTGGTTATTGTGAAGGACTAAAAATTAAGTCGAAGAAATTATTTTTCTTTCATATTTTATTTCTTATTGTTTGTATAAAAAAGTATTAAAAAATAAAGCAATGTTTTTGAATTGAAATAGAACACATTCAAAATAAAGTCTTTCTGTTTGATTAACATGATTTATTCCCCTCACTTTGCAATACTGAACATCATTTTGCTTTACCTCCTGGGCAAGCCAAGCACTAAAATCTGAAACAAAACTTGCAATTTCCTACTGAACTATTCAAAGATTAATAACTATTTTATTAGATACCTACCTGAAATGTTTTTAAATTCCAAATTCATCAATTCCGTGATATGATCATGTCTTTCCTTCAAATGCAAACGTAAGTCGTTGTTAAAGTTGAAATATAATTCACACTCTAGACAGGAGTATTTTTTGGGCACTGTATATTCGATATAATTACGTCGAATTTGTTTATGTATATTCCTGTTGTGCCGATTAAAAGTTGACTGGCTGGAGAATACTTTCTCGCATTCAAAACAAAACACACCCATTTTTTTTCTTCTTGAAATACAATCGAATAATAATAATAATAAAACCAGAGCAATAGAACAGAAAAAACACTAAACTCAAGCAAATAAGTTTGAGGTTAAGTTTATTTCCAGGAGACAAGGACAAGACATTTTGACAAGTGACGTCACGGCACGAGATGTTCACGAGCTGAGTTCGGTTATCTGACTCTTTGAACTCCTTTAGCTCCGTGCTTCTCTAATCCGTTCTCTTATTACATTAGGAGTAGATGGAGTCAACGGAGTATTCTTTAAATGAGTTCGGTTTTGACAGAGTGGATTAAAAAAGAGTTACGCCATAAACACCACCTTTTGGATAGGGAATATTGGAGTGGACATGCGCATTGGTGTTGTACTGAACTTTGTAGTTTGTTTATCAGTTTGTTAATAATGGAGGTAGTAAACACAAAAACATATAAAATAGTCATGAATGATGACGAGCCGTTAATTGAAAACGGCATGGTCGCACTGCAAAACATAACGAGTAAGTATGTACCAGATTATATGTATTGTTGTAGTAATCTAGTTCTCTTGTTCACCAAAAAATTATATACGAAAAAGTGTCTCATTTGAGTTAAAGGGTAAATTTTAGCAACAAAAAAGTAGTGCCCAACAACCTTCTAATTTACTAGTTTTTATATTTGAATCGCTCAGAAGCAATTAAAGTTTTGAGATAAAAGCAAGTAAAAAATTGGGCCAAAACTAAATCCGTTTTTTCTGTTTAACAGTACCATTTTATTAATATACAAATGATGTGATTATCAGCGTATACGTTTATAAGGCTAAGGATAAGAAAAATATTCAGGAAAACATTTTCTTACAAAAAAGTCAGTTTGGCCACTTTGCCAAATATAAAATTTTAACAAAAAACGCAATCTTTCACTTGGGTCTGTAAGCTGGTGTAAAAATTATGACAAACAGGCGGAATGTTGAAGGTCTCATTTTAATTTTTCTACAGGTCTTCCAGTAGGATAAAGGATGTCCAAGTAGAAGTCTTCTTATTTCATTTGAGAAACCTCCATTGTATGGCCTAACTATATTAAGCAAAAATTGCAATTGGGCCATTCTGCTTCTGAGTGACTCACCTTCTGTGTTTATCACTTTGTATGTTTTAGCAAATGAATGCATACTGGCGCCTATGACCGAGGGTTTAATAAACGAATTTCAAATACAGGTGTCTGATACTAAGACAGAAAATGAAGACAAAATATGGACTTGTGAAAACACCATTTTCCTTATAAGGAAAATGGAAGAGTTTGATAGAGAGTTTAACAATGGAATTAAACGAAATGTATGGTTAAAAGTGACTGCTGCAGTTGCAGAGAAAGTTCCTTTAATAACACAGTACTTTACAGTGATGCATAATTTTTTGTTTAATAAACGAGATATTGTACTGGTTGCTACATGCAGCAGTAGAATGGGAATGGAAATACCTGCTGGTGAAAATGGTAAATGTTTATTTTTATACTTAATTGAAACATCAAAAACTGTTCATAAGGCAATCGGCCATTAAAAATAAAAATTCACTGAACTGTTGTTATATCAGACTATTTGTTTTCTAAAACATTTGGAACCCTGTAATTAAATTATTGCTCTTTTTATGTAGGTATTAATAAGGAAAATCAGGAGCAACCAGGAACATCAGGATTAGAAACCAATTTTTCAAGAAAAAGAAACTCAAATTCGCCCTTAAAAATAGGTAATTTTATTCGCGGCAATTCAATATTGCTATCTTTTATCTACTCCCGTGCGAATTGAAACATTTGAACCGGAACGTGAATAACTTGACTTATTTGAATTGTTTTCTAAGCTTTTACTTTCCTCTACTTCCCTACTATCTTCTATTAAAGCCTTACTTATACCCACTAGAGAATCATATTTATTTTCAAATAACTCCCTTTCTTGTAATTGCAATTCATTAGCAGTTTCATCAATAATTTCGATCTCGGTTTGTACTTTATTGAAGTCATGCATTACTTCCTCAACCCTAGCTATTTTGTTTTCTAAATCAAATATTTGTTCTTTTTTAAGTATTTTATTTTCATCATCAAGACTTGCTACTAAACTGTTTACAAATTTCTCAAAAATTGTTAACCGGCTTTTGTACGTCCCTCTTTCCTTAACTAATTTTTGAAGTTCAGTCATTTTAATTTTACTGCACTTGTACAAATTAAAAACAATAACAGGATATTTATAAGGAAATAAAAGGACTCACTTTTACTTAATACGGCTCTGCTATTCAAGATTTTTCTAGTTTCACCAGGTCTCTATTCGCTTGACGATGTTTCCCACTGTGTTCGGCTTTTACGTAGATCCGTCGATTCAGAATGGCTTCCGCGGCCAACTTCTGGTCACAAGTTTTTTCGGTTTTATATCCACACACACAATCCGGCTTCGAAAGGACCACTAAATGTTTTTAACTTTAAAATGTTCTGGGCTGTATGTTAAAAGGTTGGTTCAATTAGACACTTATTGATAATTTTGTTTTTAATTATAACTGACAACACAAAATATTGGTAGAAGAAAATAAAAACGTGTTACTTTGGTAAGCTATTATGTCTGTCTCCCGGCTTTTTGCTTTTTCAGACCGGTCACCGTTTTACACCTCCCCACCAACGGTCCGGCTGGCGCGTGCCGACGTCACTCGACCTTCACACCGGCACCAACGACAGCAACAGAAGTACACGCATCAGTGGCGCGCTTTAAATTTTCTTAACAATATATAAATTTCCTAAAATGGGCCGTATTCGGGAAAATTAACAAAAATTGCAAAATTCCGTTTTTTAATGGAATATATCTGTTATTTAAGCTTGGAGAAGAAACTTCTTCAAATAAAAGTTGTTGCAATATTATTCCCTATAGTTCTTGTTTCGTATATAATTTTCCTAATATGGTCCGTATTCGAAAAATTTGATAAAAAGTGTAAAATTTAATATTTAAATAAAAGTTCCTTGAGATGTTATTCTCTATAATTTTTGTTTTGTGCATGATTCCCTAAAATGGAGCGTATCCTAGATATTTGAGATAAACTGAAAATTCCGAATTATTAAGTTTAAAAACGGAAAAAACCCCATATATAAAAAATTGTGCGAGTATTTAGTTTATACTCTAATCATTTACAAGCGTGATACAATGGGAAAAGCCTGTAATAATTAGATAGGAAAGTCATGTGTTGGACACTTCAGATATTTTTTAATAGATTTATTTAAAGTTTTACTAGAACGTTTAGGAATTGTTGGAAAAATATAAGTTATGAGAAAATAGAAGATTTTTTTAATAGCTTTATTCAAAGTTTTTTATAAGTGTATAAAAACTTTAATCTGAACCCATTTTTTTTCCTTAAATAAGTCTGGGTGCTCTCGTTGCAATTTAACACATTCATCTTTTTTCGGAGATATTTTATTTTTAATGTGATTTTTTAAAAATTTTAGCATTACAGCTTTCTGCTTTCCATTCCAACTGCCACGACATTTTATTATATTTCTATCTTTTCCTGCCTTTTCCATCCTCCCCTTTTTTTCGTTCTCTTCTTTAGTTTCCTTCTTTTTCTTGATTTTCTTCGTTTTGGGTGCCATATCTACAATTATTATAATATATTATTTATAAGCAAAGAATAATTCTCATTATTTGCAGCATATGCTACCGGGTAATATTAAATAATATTAAAAATTAGGTACGTTTGTCAGTCAGTTAAACATTATTTGTATGTTTTCAGATTATACATATCCTTTTAACTTTTAAAGACATTTCTGGTATTAAGTTCGTGTACACCAGGTTTGTAGATTCTTAGGAGGACCTTAAATCAGACTAACTTATACTGCTGTTCCTATTTTTAATTATTTTTATAGCTTATAAAATTACAATTACATCTCTCTAGTTGTTCAATATTTGGATGATTTTATTAAAATGATTCCTTATATTATAAGAAAATAAAATGAAATTATTTTGTATGAAATAAGGAAATCAAATTAGGTCACACAATTCATATTTCTTAATGAAAAAGTGCAGTTTTCTATTACAGCCGTTACAATATTTTTTGAGGAAAGCACGTGTTCTCAAAGTCGAATAAGCAAAAAATCCTATATAAACATGTGCAAATATATCCTTTCAAAGTTACGCGGTGACAAAGAAACTCTAAACAATTTTCTTAAATTTTTTGAAAATAATTTAGGATAACACAGTGAGCTTTGTAATAAACTACTTTTTTAAATTTCGGCAGGGGCGTACGTGACATCCAGTAATTAATTATTAAAAAAAAAGCGCACTTTTATGTAATTTTTTTTTGCTTATTTCGACTTCCACAACACGTCCTTAAAAGATTTCCCTTTCTTTGCAAAACACCCCGTGCAATACAGAAGTGTCGTATGTTGATAAAGATAAGATGTATGTAATAGTGTGTGATATTGTGTAAAGATGGTAATAGACTCAGATTTACCTTCCACGCCAATTTCGGTGTCTTTATCCGTATTATCAGAATTGTTCTTATCTGCCATCTCACCCTCGGAATCTTTATCCATAATATTTTCTTCTGCTATATCAATCTCGCTACCTAAAAATTAATATTTGTTAAGTAGAAGTAAGTAAAGTAATTTACTATTATGATTGAAATAAAATGATCTTAAAAGATAGAAAGTGTTTATTCACACAAAACTTAATGCGGTAATATTCAGGAATATTTAAAACTATATTTCTAAATATTTCTAAACATTTCTAAATATTTCTAAATATTTCTAAATATTTCTAAATATTTCTAAATATTTCTAAATATTTCTAAATATTTCTAAATATTTCTAAATATTTCTAAATATTTCTAAATATTTCTAAATATTTCTAAATATTTCTAAATATTTCTAAATATTTCTAAATATTTCTAAATATTTCTAAATATTTCTAAATATTTCTAAATATTTCTAAATATTTCTAAATATTTCTAAATATTTCTAAATATTACCGCATTAAGTGTTTGTGTGAATAAACACTTCCTATCTTTTAAGATTATTTTATTTCAATAATAATATTTCTAAATATTTCTAAATATTTCTTAATAATTCTAAATATTTCTAGAAAAATTTATAAATATTTATAAATATTTAGATAATTTAGAAATATTTATAAATATTTAGGAATATTTAGAAATATTTAGAAATATTTAGAAATATTTAGAAATATTTAGAAATATTTAGAAATATTTAGAAATATTTAGAAATATTTAGAAATATTTAGAAATATTTAGAAATATGTAGAAATATTTAGAAATATTTAGAAATATTTAGAAATATTTAAAAAAATTTAGAAATATTTAGAAATATTGATTATGGACGAAAACAATTTTTTAGAAAAAAGAAACTGTTTTGAATATAATCATTAATTATTTTGAAAAAAAAATTATAATTACCACTAGATCTATTTTTCTCTGAGTTTTTAACCCACGTTTCCAGTTCACAGTCTATTTCATCGAGAGTTTTACCCTTATTTTCTCCTCCCAATCCCTTTTCCATCATTAATAGTAATTTGGCAATTTTTGCTATTTGAAACACTTCCTGCGGCAATCTTAAAACAAAATTATTAGTTTATTGTTCTATTAACATTAAAGTCACAAGTTTGTTGGTTTGTCGTAGGCACAATTATTTTAAATCATGATCATAAGAATAAAATTGATTTACTTTTTCAACAACATTAGAAGAAATAAAAGTGTATAAATTGTCTTCGGCATTTTTTAGTTAAAAAATTAATTAAAATAAAAATAAGTATAAGATTAAAAGAAATTCTAAAATGTAGGAAATCAAAAAAGAAAAATAAAGGACAGAAAAATCGACAAGAAAACTGTTGTAAAAAGAAAAACAAAGGGAGATTAGGGATTGATAGCGGACTTCGGACGTCTTAGGAGAGATAAAGATTTAAATATTATGTATGTTTTATACCTATAAAATTCTTCGTGCGTCTTTTTCGTATGGCCCATAAATGTTGCGACTTGTTCAATTTCGGTTTCGTTTAAATTTAAAATTTGTAAGACGGTGGCTATCTGTTTCCTAAGACGAGAAGAAGTCAAAGTGGAAGGGTTTTTAGCACCACATTGTATTGCATATTTTCGTAGTACAGATGAGCCATCTACCCACTTGGAGGAACTATTCGTCAACGCAAATAAGAACGGGTTTTCCTGAGGAACAAAAGTCGTATTTCTTCTAACCGAGAGTAAAACATCTAGGTAATTCTGTATATTTTTTGAGAAAAGTATTGGCACCGGCTTACTTCCTTTTCCTATTGTAACAATACGTTTAAAATGATTTGATAACATTTTTTCGGCTTCTGTTATTGAATTTAGACATTCTTCTTGGTTAATGTCATTGGATTCTTGGTAATACGATTTTAACTTAGTATATTGTACATCACCTATTCTCTTTCTATTTAATATAATAGTAAGAGCAAGTATTGTTTCTGTAAGTTTTTTAAAAGATTGTATATTGTTAGTATTTGCCTTCAAATCAGCGACACATGTTTCTGCTATTTCTTGGGTATAATTTTTAAATAAAATTATATCTTGAGTTACTGGTAATTTCTGAGGATTTGTGGTTTTTTTTTCATTGAGATCCTTTAACGCTAAACTGCCCATTTCAAATTTCCAGTTTGTTTCAAGTAACTCTCTAAATCCTTTAATATGTTTCAATGCAGAGTCAAAATCTGTGATGCCCAAAATTGGACTTTTTTTGAGTAAAAGAGTTCTGGCTGCAGACGATGCCGCTAATAAGATTGTTCTCATATGAAGTGCAAGAGACGGTGAGCGAAATGATAGTGTTGCTTCACTATAACCAGATATTATGCGACTTGCTGAGATCACTTTATCGAAATGCTCCGGTTTGAGAGCTTCAAGCATTGAATTAATATTATAAACGTCTTGCAGAGGAATAAGAAGTCTTCCTAATTCTCTAATTTTGTTTGATACTGCGTTTTTAATGTGTGGTCTTCTATGTTTACGCAAATAGTCTTCCGCATATTGACATATAATTGGATCACTTTTACAAAAGATATTCTATCTGCATGCATTTTGTCAAAGACTTCGGACTTTAGTCTTAATTTGCTTAAAAAGCCTTGACGAGATTCACTGAAAGCCAACATTGTCTGGCCTTCACTGAGTAAATTAATTTTTCTCTTATCTATATTTAATTCACATGTTTTTGCATGTTTTCTTAATGTTTTCTTTTTGTAGAGTCCTTTACAATATATGCAAGGGAGAAAATCTGTTGAAAGAACGCAATGTTCATTTTGTTTGGAGCTCGGTCTTTGAACAGGTCTAATTTTATTTTCTCCAATAATACTGAAATTTCCCTGCTTTCGTAGCACATTTATCATCATTTTTCTTTTCTTTTCCCCTTTTGGCTGAGCAATAATTTGTTTAACACTTTCTTCAGTTCCATGTATTCTAAGCAGGTGTCTAGAAAAATTAGTAACGTCCTTGTTACAATATGGACAACGATCTTTTTTGTCCCATACTCTTCCTTTACGCCTGCTGCATTCTACTAGTTTTTGATTGACAATGCTTTGAGTAGATCCCTAAAATTTTCTATATGTATTTATTATATTTATTATTATTTATTATTAAATTTCATATTTAATTTTTAAGTAATATTGTTACCTGAATTTCAAATCTTTCTTTGTTTCCATTACACTTTTTTGCCCGTTCTTCAGAAGGGATAATAAATCCATTTCCGTCTCGTGTTTCAGGAAACTAAAAATACTAACTATTAACAGGTTTTTTATACAAGAAATAACTTATTAAATTATCTGATATTCACAATATTTCCAGTTCTTGATATCATAAAATATATATATATATATATATATATATATATATATATATATTTTTTTTCGAAAACAATTTTGATAATTAAACATTAAACGTTATTGGTACCTCTGAATTTTTGGACATTATCTTTGGTATTGTGTTAATAATTTCGCTTATTTCGGACGTGGAGTTACCTCCAGAATCACTTTCTTTTATGCTATCATGTTTCCAGGAACCCTAAAATGTAATTAGTAGACTAAATTCTTCCGTAACTGACAAAATTTGTTTTTCTTTAGTTTGGAAAAAGACTCATGATAAAGAATGATTTACAAAAAATGTTTTTACATAAGAATTGTTCCAAGGCCTACTTTAGAAACATATAAAAAATTATCTGATTTTTAAATAAAAATTACTCTCTATAACTAAAAAATAATAAAATAAAAATTTAAATGGAAAAAGTTTACCTCTACGCATTTCAGCACTCTTGACTGGGTTTTTCAAAAGAGGCAAAACACAGGCTTTTTTTATCACGACATCTTCGATTTTTGAGATCTAGAGCAATGGTTCTCAACCTTTTTGTGATCGCGACACCCTTAAGTATAAGTTTGTATGCTGCGACACCCTTACCCTAAATTATAATTTAAATAACAATATATTGTTTAAAAACAAAAATAGCATGCATATGCATACTTAAAAACAAAATACTTCCCTGAATCCAAAAAAAAAAGTATTTCAAATAAAAGTTTCTTGGTTAGCATTAATGTGACACCTGTATCTGATGAGTTAAACATAATTTTTCTATTTGAGGACGTACACGTGATAACTTACACGCATTTCGCTGACGACGTCAGTTAATCGTGCTCTGTACCACCTCTGTACTTTGATTTGATTTATACTTGAAAATGTCATTTCACACAGATAAGACGTTGCAAGTGGTAACAGAATATCCAAGGCTTTTTTGAGATTGAAGGGTAGTCAGTAGCCATTCTTTAACGATATCCAAAATTTTGATACATCAGAATCCAAAAATTGGGCCATGTATTTTAAAATATAAGCAGCTGATTAGATTTTTATACCGCAGGATTTAGATGACACGCGACACACCAGGGTGTCGCGACACTCCGGTTGACAATCACTGATCTAGATGATCTAAAAATAAATATTATTTCACCCTTTCGTATAAAATCCTATCATAATGGGTGCCTCGGTAATTAATAAAATTACCTTTTGTGTTAAACGCTTTGAGCTGTGCGTTGATGAGTCAGTCAGGACATTTTTTTTAGTTACATAGATTAAAATTAGCTTAATAAACATAATTTAAAATGGTTTACAAATACCATATTGAATAATATTTTATTATACTTACGGATGAATCTATATATGGTACGTTCGGGTATTTTTAAGGATTCGGAGTGGAGCGGTGCAAGTGCGGAGTGAGAGTTTTTGGAGTAATTTGAATTAATCGAACGTGTCGGAGTAAACGAAGGGTAGAAAGTAGAAAACTTAACCTTAAAACTCATAACCTCGAATTTGTTTTGGTTTTGATAGCAAGTGATCTATGGTTTTGATTTGATTTTTTGTTAAAAAAAGTAGGCATGGAATTTAATGAGATGGGCCCATTTATTGTGGGCTTGCTAAATTTTGAAAAGGAGATGTTTCTCTTTGAAGAGTCCTCAGATGAAGAAGCAAACATAGTGGAAAAGATTGACAACTTTGCAGAAGCAACAGTGCCCCTAATGACCAACAAACAATTTAAAGTCCATTTCAGAATGGATCCTACAACTTTTGAAGATTTGTTGGTCAAAATTAATTCGGTACAAGATTTTGATTCATCCAGAGGCTACCCAAAAACTTCCTTGGAAAAAGAAGTGATGATCACCATATGGTATTTTGGAAACCTAGAAAGCATTAGGTTGGTTAATGTAAAGTTGTCATCCGTTTGGAATTTCCCTGGCTTTGCCTGGATTTATAGAGTTTTGTTGGCATAAAATTGAAGTACCTTTATGAAGTTCGCTAAGATAAACAAATTTTAAGTTCGGCTATTAATAATTTATAAAACATTTTTTTGTATCCTTAAGATAAATTGAAATAAATTCAAATAACCCAAAGTAAAACTGTAAACATCAACTTCAGAGCTTATAAATTTAACTTTAAGGTCATAACAAAATATATATTCTTTGGTCCATCCCCATTATAAAGTCAACTTTTTATAATAAAAAATTGATTTTTAGGTTGGTTGCAAATACCTTTGGTATTTCTAAATCCACTTGCTGGCAAATTTTATTTCGCATTGGAAAATTACTTTTGAAAGTAAATGAACGTTTTAAAATAATATCTTGGCCAAACAGAGAAAGGCAATTGCAAATTTCAAATAACCTTTCTGCAAATGGTTTTAATGGTAAGGCAATACTGGTTACTGTTATGTTTTTAAAATTAAGTTCTTAGCTTTAGCTGAATAAGGTATAATAACAACAAAAAAAAATTGAGAAACAGAAAATATGTTATTTGGGGAGTGAGCTAAAGGACTTCAGTTGGTGGTCTTTTCAGTATTGTAAATCAATAAAGAATGTTTATTATTATTTGGATGCTTTTTGCTGAAAAAAGTGATTTGCTTAGGATGTCTGTATGAATACCCATTGCTCCTAAACTGATTTTGATCAAGTTTTTAATAAAAATAATTAGGAATACTAGTTGCAGCTAAAAAAAGTTGTTTAAAATGTGGTTTTTAAATATCGATAACATATTTTCTTCCGATGAGGAGTTATGGTTTTTGAGATATTTCATTGATTAATGTATTTTTTGTAGGTGTAATTGGATGTATTGATGGTTGCCACATAAGAATAGTCACTCCAAAAGAGAATGGCAACTCATATGTGAATAGGAAAGATTTCCATTCTTTACTTTTACAAGGAGTCTGTGACGATCGATTGCTGTTTACAGACATTTACACTGGTGAACCAGGGTCATTACATGATTATACTTTATACAGAAAATCAGACTTGTTTACAAGAATACTAAATAACCAAATACAATTTTTTGAGGATTTTCATTTAATTGGTGACTTGGCCTATAAACTTGATACAAACTTGCTGGTAGGATTTAAAGATAATGGCCATTTAACTTTAAGACAGAAAAATTTTAATGTCATTCTTAATAAAATTAGAATCAAAATAGAAAATGCCTATGCTCAGCTAAAGGGTCGCTTCAGGCGACTTAAATTACTTGAGACACAGCGACTAGACTTATGTGCACTAAACATCATGAGCTGCTGTATATTGCATAATATTTGCATTTTACAAGGCGAGTCATTTGAGGATATTATGGAATTAGCTGCAGAGCTAAGGGAGTTAAGAATGAATCATCCTGACAATGAAGAAGATATTCACATTATTAATAATATTCCCAATGCTGCAAACATAAAAAGGAATCAAATTGTTAATGGGTTGCCTATTATAATTAGAAATTAACAAAATATTAGGCTATAAATAGCAACTTAAATAAACCTATTACATAAAACACATTAATCGTTTTTTTTTATTAAATTAACATTTATTCTTTAAAAAAACTACGTTAACACAAATAAACAAACGTTCGTTTTTTTTTAACTTAAATTTATTCTGCATTAACAAACAACTAACTAATAATATAATAACGTTAAGTAAAATATAAAATGGGTTACTAAAACAAATGTGGAACAAATTGTAGGCTTACTGTAAAAACCAACTAACTTTATTGTGGAAATTAAATGGGATTTCTGTGAAAAAATCTCATGACAGGTAAAAAAAATATATTTTCCAAAGCCTAGTCAGGCATTTTATCAACCATTTTTTCAAATATATCATTAAAACGATCCAACCTTTGCATTTTCTCCTTGTGTCGTCTGTCAGCTTCTGAAGCTTTTGCTTCTCTTTTTTTGGTAAATGAACTTTTAAAGATTTCATCCTTGTTATTTGCTAATACCGAATTATCTGCTTGACTTCCAGAGGCTTCTCTTAAAATCTCAATGATAGAAGATATCCAGAAAATAACAGTTACCGTAATGAACTTATAAATGAGTATTTTGCTCTACTGTAAAGTTTCAAAAACAAAGT